GGGTGGATCTCTGCCTGCTCTCAGCCCACCCACTTTTGGCATCAAAAGGACCCTGGAGTTTAGTGTGTCACTGGACAGAGGGAGAACTAGGCTGAGCTCTTCTATTTCTTACTTATTTACACCTGGCTTAAGCCACACTGTATGAGAACTGAGTAGTCCCCTTGCATCTGGTTTTGAAAGACTTATGAGGTCCCTCCTCCAGAACTCTGGCTGCAGCAACCCCAGCAGAAGTCCTGAGTCTGCGTACTTGTAGAATAATAGAAAGAAGAATTAGGGAAGTGAGTAGGCATTATTGATTGGGAATCTTATATCATGTATTTAGTGCTAACTGATGTGCTTTCTTGAGGGTAGCTGTGTTAGAGAAGCTCTGTCTTTGAGGGTCATCTCATAGAACTGGCATCAGTAGGAGGAGGCCAGCCCCAACGCTGCCTCTTACAGACCTTGAACCCTGGGAGGAGTTGGTAGATAAACTACAGGGCACCCAGGTAAGTTTGTATTTCATATGAAAAATATTGTGTGGGAGATACTAACACATACTAATTCTTTGTCACTGCTTTACTGAATTCAAATTTAACCAACCTCCAGTGTTTTTATTTGATAAATTGCAGAATCCTACCTCCAGGCCACAAGCACGCCCTCTCTAACAAGGGCCTACTGCATGAAAAGGAATCATAAAGCTGTTGTCAGGATTCAATGAGGTCACACTCTCAGGAATTAAAAAGCTGTTGGTCAGTAGTAAGGTTGCAGTTGTAGTAAATCTCAATACAACCTATCAAAACCTCTAGGATACAGCAAAGGAAGTGCTAAGAGAAAAGTTTAGCATTAAACACTTACATTGAAAATCCAGAAAGTGCACAAACAGACAATCTAAAGTCACACCTCGTGGAACTGGAGGATCAAGAACAATGCAAACCCAAATTCAGAAGAAGAAAAGAAATAACAAAGATTAGCCCAGAACTAAATAAAACTGAAACAAAAAACAATACAAAAGATAATATGCACATAAACTGAAAAACCTAGAGAAGATGGACAAATATCTGAATATATACAACCCTCTTAGATTGAACCTGAAAAATATAGAAACTCTGAACAAACCAAAAAGAAGCAGTGAGATCGAAATAATAATTTTAAAAAGTCAACCCCCCACAAAAGTACAGGACCACACAGATTCACATTTGAATTCTATCAGACATTGAAAGAAGATTTCATACCAAGTCTATGACAGTAATTGTGATGGTTAATATTCAGTGTCAACTTTATTGGATTGAAGGATATAAAGTATTGATCCTGGGTGTGTCTATGGGGGTTTTGCCAAAGAGATTAACATTTGAATCAATGAGATGGGAAAGGCACACCCGCCATTAATCTGGGTGTGCACAAGCTAATCAGCTGCCAGCACGGCTAGAATATAAGCAGACAGAAACATGTGAAAGAGACACTGGCTTAGTCTCTCAGCCTACATCATTCTCCTGTGCTGGATGCTTCCTGCCCTTGAACATCAGACTCTAGTTTCTTCAGTTTTGGAACGTGGATTGGCTCTCCTGTTCCTCAGCCTGCAGACGGCCTCTTGTGTGACTTGTGATCACGTGAGCTAATACTTAATAAGCTCATAGATATATATACACACACATATATATATACCAATGGTTCTGTCCCCATGGACAATACTGACTAATACACTAGTCCACAGGATGGAGAAATAGGGAATCCTTCCTAAATTATTCTATGAAGCCAGTATCACCGTGAAACCAAAATGAGGGAAGGAGGTAATGAAACAAGAAAACTACAGACCAATATCCCTGATGAACAAAGATGCAAAAATCCTAAACAAAATACTTGCTAAGTGAATCCAATGGCTGTCAAATCACAGTCCACCATGATGAAGTGGGTTTCTTACCAAGGATGCAGGGATGGGTTAACATACAAAGTCAATAAATGTAATATACCACATAACCAGAATTAAAAACAAAAATCACATGATTATTTCAATAGATGCAGAAAAAGTACTTGACAAAATCCAGCGTCACTTCATGATTAAAACCCTCTGCAAAATTGGCATAGAAGAGACATACCTTATGCTAATGAAACTTCTCTATTACAAACCCACAGCCAACATTACACTGAGCAGAAAAAAGTTAAAAGCATTTCTTCTGAGAACTGGAACAAGACAAGAATGCCCACTTTCACCACTTCTGTTCAACATGGTACTGGAAGTCTTAGCCAGAGCAATCAGACAAGAGAAAGAAATTAAGGGCATCCAAATTGGCAAAGAGGAAGTCAAACTGTCACTGTTTGCTTATAATATGATCGTATACCTAGAAAACCTTAAAGACTCATCCAAAAAGCTCTGAGAACTGGTGAACGAATTCAGCAAAATTTCAGGATACAAAATTAAGGTACACAAATCAGCAGCTCTGCTATACAACAACAGCGACCAAGCTGAGAATCAAATCAATAACCCAACCCCTTTTCCAAATAGCTGCAAAGAAATAAAAATACTAACCAAGGAGATGAAAGACCTCTACAAAGAAAAGTACAAAACACTGCTGAAAGAAAACATAGATGACACAAACAAATAAAAACACATCCCATGCTCATGAATGGGTAGAATCAATATTGTGAAAATCATCATACTACCAAAAGCAATCTACAAATTCAATGCAATTCCCATCAAAAT